TCTATTGGTTTTAGAGGTTAACAAACTGCTTTCACTTCTAGAAGAGGCGGGCACAAAAATGGTAGCCCACGCGGACGACGTGGTTATCCTACTACAGGGCAAATTCCCGCATCTGTTCAGAGATCCGTTTCCCTAGCTCATGGGTTACCTGCTTTCGCGAAGTATTCTTTTCTTCTTAAGAAACATAAGAGTTTTTGGATGTTTACGTCCTGAATGGCCGCAAGGTTCGGAAGTGTGTAGATACCTAGGGTTTGAAAGCGCTTTAGGTTATGCGCTGGGCAGAAGCATAGGAGGTGTTCGATGCTCTCCTCTTCGTCTATCTGTTTGCAGCTGCGGCAGAAGTCGTGGTTACTTAGTCCCAGCCTTAGCGCATGAGTCCCTATAAGACAGTGGCCCGTGAGGGCGTTCAGGAGAGTGGAGAGTATGAGTCTAGAATTGTGGCATGTTGAGATTGAGTTCCAACGGTTGTTGGAAAGTGTATACAATCTCTGCCTGAGATGGAGCTTGCAGGTAGCCATTGTCATACCTACCGTGTCCTTATCACGAAGGATATCGGCGGTTGTCCCCTGTCTTGCTAGCTCGTCTGCTATGCAGTTGCCCTCAATATTGCGGTGTCCAGGCACCCAGATGAGGTTGATTCTCAGATGAGTGGCCATCTCGTTAAGAGATTTGCGTTCGTTGTGTAGGAGTCGAGGGCCCTGAAGGCTGCTTGACTATCCGAGAAGATAAAGATATCTATGTCTTGATGTACAGACGTGTTCAGGTGGGTAATGGCTTCCTGAATTGCCATGACTTCCGCTTGGAAAATACTACAGTGGTCTGGTAGGGGGAATGAGACTTTTATGTCTAGTTCGGGGAAAAAGACTCCCCCACCTGCTTGGGAGCTAAGCTTGGAGCCGTCTGTGTATATGTTGACGGCGTTTACGAATTGGTGTGGGAGGTTGTCCCAGTCTGTACGGGTGGGTATAAAGATCTTGTATCTTCTTTCGAAGTTGACTATGGGTGGAACGTAGTCTGTACTACGTGGTAAGGATGTATGTTTTGATAGGATATTTGAGTGATCCGTAGACCCTGTTGTCCATGCCGCTGCTTCGCGGAGCCTCAGCGCTGTTGCAGATGCCCAGCTGGGCAGGTTGGCAAGTAGGTCCAGGGGTTGGAGATCGAGAATTGTGTTTAGTGCCTCAGTGGCAGTAGTGCGAAGCGCCCCACTGATGCAGAGCTCTGCGCTTCTTTGGATCTTGTGAAGGATCCGGAGGTTGCAGCTCTTTTTTAGAGAAGGCCACCAAACGATGTTTCCGTAGAGGAGAATGGGCCTGTCTATTGCAGTGTATAGCCATTGAACTATCATGGGGGAGAAACCCCACTTCCTCCCTATGGCTTTTTTACAAGCGAATGGGGCTATGGCAGCTTTGCGTGTGCGATCTAGGATGTTATCTGTCCAGAGGAGCTTTTTGTCGAGGATGACACCTAGGTACTTTGCTTGGTTGCTAAAGGCTAGGCGCGTTTGGTGTAGTTTTGGGGGAACTAGAATTGGTACCTTATACTTTCTTGTAAAGAGATCTAGATCAGTTCAGTGATAGCACCAGTAATCGCCCTTGGGGTGACGTTGTTAAAGGCGCCTTCTATGTCTAGAAACGCCGCAAGAGAGTATTCCTTATTGCGGAAACCTCTTTCTATACTGTACACTAGAGAGTGGAGGGCGGTATCTGTTGTTGCTGTGCGTCAGAGAGTAGGCTATGGTCGATGGTTAGTCTGATATGGGTGTCAATTAGCCTTTCCAGGGTCTTCAACAAGAAGGAAGAGAGACTAATCGGGCGGAAGTCCTTTGGGTTGGTGTGGGAGGGCTTTCCGGCTTTCGGTATAAAAATTACCTAAACGTCCAGCCACCTTGTTGGAATATGGTTTAGAGCAAGGCAGCCGTGGAAGATGGCTGTCAACCAGGGTAGGGACATATCTAGTGTCCGTTGTAGCTGGGCCGGGAAGAACCCATCTGGGCCGGGCGATTTGAAGGGCTTAAAAGAGTTGACAGCCCACTGAATGCGGCCAGGGTTTGAAATGTTGTCAATACTCTGGTCGTCTAGGTTCTCCTCTATGTGGAGGTCCTCCACTACATGGGTGTTCTTAAGGAAGTGGGTGTCTAACAGTAGTTCAAGGGTTTCCCGTCCAGCTGTCAGCATTGGTTTTTAGATAGCCAATGGTTGCTGGAGCTTTTGCTAGAATTCTTCTGAGTCTGGATGCCTCCGCAGTAGATTCTATGCTACTGCAGAAGTTAGTCCAAGCTCTTCGTTTTGATATTCTAATTTCTTTTTGTATAGGCTTAGTTTTGTATGGTATAAATTTCAGGAGGATTCGCTATTGTTGTATTTAGCTCTATTGAAGTAAGTTCTACACTCTCTTTTAAGGTTCGCCAGGGTTGCGTTCCACCAAGGGGGTTTGTGCTTTGTTTTGACTGTTCTGCTTGGGCAAGCCTTTTTTAAGGCCTCACCGCAGATATCAGTAAAAGTGTTAACTAGGTTATCTAATTCTTGACGGTTGCGTATGTGTGTCGGTGGAGCGTGTAGGTTCCTGTTGAGGAGATTTTTGTAATATCCCCAGTTGGTTAATCTTAGATTAGTGATGTTCTCGGCGAAAGGACAGTCTAGACTTATTGTAAATTCTATGTATCGGTGGTCTGAGAATGAGTGTACGATCCCCACCTTCCACGCTTCTAGCTGGCTAAGTAGGGGATCAGATATTAGTGTAATGTCTAGTACTTCCCTCCTATTTCTAGTGATGAAAGTTGGGTCATTACCCTTGTTGCAGATGAATAGATTTGATTGAAGGAGATAGTCGTAGAGTAACTCACCCCTTTCGTTGGTGTTTTTACTTTCCCATTGTGTGGTATGAGTTAGCGTCCCCACCCAGGATGAGTTCCTTAGATGAGTGAGTGCGTATGAATTGTTGTGTAGTGGTGTTTGGTAGTGGCCCCTCGTGTTCTTGAGCCAGATAGAACGATGCTATGGTGTGATGAGTGTGTTCGTTTAGCTCCAGTCTGACCGTGGTGAGGTCGCCTTCGCTAAACTGTGGAATAAGAAATGCATTAAAGTGTGTCTTTGTAAGAATGCAGGTTCTGGTTTTACCCTTATCCTTGGTGAGGAGGGCAGCGGATGCTACCTTGCTGTGGTGCAGGTTAATCTGCAGAAACTGCACCATCTTTGGGACCGAGGACGGGCTGGGTCCCCTCCGCTTCCCCCGCTATGTCCTGGAGAACAGTGCGCCCTGGTTGGGTTGTGTCCTGGGTGCACAGCTGCTTCAGGCTCTCTGTCAGCTCCGAGTCGGTTGACACTTAGCCGGTGAGGGTGGCCTCTTAATGTTCCGATTCGTCGTCGCTCGGGGGTTCGTACGACGCACAGGCAGCCAGGTTGTCGGTCGCTAACTTGTCCGTGTCGTAGATTCGTAGCTGCACCTTATCGAACCCGTAGTTTACCCGGTATTGTTGGGCTGCGAGGGGTTCCAAGCAGGCCTGGTTCAGGAGGATAACCACGTTCATGGTGACGCGCTCGGTTTTCTCCACCTTCTCCACCTCCACCGTCTGTTGGAAGTTTCGGGTTGAACCTGGTCAGCAGGCTGAGTATAGCTTCTGGTTCCGATGGTTCCGACGGCAGCCACACCCTCGCTCTCGGTCGAGACGGGATGTCTGCAGCCTCGCAAACTGCCAGCTTGGCCCCGGGGTAGACCTCGCCGACCTTGTTAATTGCAGCCTTGTAGAGTGCTGCCGATCTCTCGTCTTCGCAGGCGATCAACTTAACATTGCCCTGGTACCACCCTGCATCTGTGCAATCGGGTGGCCACTTCAAGGCCACTGATGCAAGGGCCCGTCTAACCAGACCCCATTGGTTTCTTGGGATCCTACCGCCTTCATCGCTCTGGTCGATGACACCAATGATCTTCCGACCCTTTACCACTTCCGCAAAGGATCTCGACCATGTGCCGCGGTTGGTTACTTTAGCCTTCTTGCTTGCTGGTTGAGCTGTCTCCATCGACCTCTCTCGCTTGTTGCTGTTGCTGGTAGTCATTGCGATGTGGAAGTCTGGGACTACCGCCTTTGCCCAGGCTATGTCCTCTTGGATTTTCAGGTAATCCAATTTTGACGTCTGATCCTCACGTATCGGATTGGTGGCCAGCCGTTTTAGGATCCTAAAAGCTTTCTTTCGTTCAAGAGGTCCTGCCTGGTTAGGTGGTATCCTCTTAAACTCCTTTGCCCTGGTACTCACCACGAGACCGGCTTTTGCGCTCCCCTAAGGTTGGAGTAGCTGGTTAGCCACACCTACGCTGGTGGGAGGCTTGGGCTTGTCGCTATGGCGAGTTGGGCTTAGCCGGCTGCGTTGTTCGCTGGCCTTGGCAGGGGTCGACGTCACAGGGACTAGGGTAATCGGAGCCGTGATCTTGCTCTTCTTGTCGTCGTTGGTTACGACTTCCGACTTTTTGAGAGTGTCGGGCTCTTTTTTGTTGTTCATATCTTTTTTTTTGTTAGTATTTGTCAAATTCTCCATATTTATTCTCACGAGCTGCGGAGAAAGGAAAGGTCCACCCCGGCAGAGATCCGCCGTACCCGGGTAAGGCTGACTTAGAACAGGCGGTCGCCACTTGCCTGAGCTCACCGTTTGAGACTGAGTTATTTGATGACTCGGGCTCCCAGCCAGATTGACTCTCGGCACGGTACGAGTGACACCTTAGTCCAGCCCGGGGTGAGATGAGTTGTGTGGGTAGGAAAGAGGTAGGTTCAAAGAGTGTGGGAAGGGTATGTGTGAGCTATTTGTCGGAGGCGGCAGCACAAGCGCGACGTCGGTACTGCTACGGCGCAGATACCCGCTGACTGTCCGGGGCTACTTATTTGCGCTTTGTGTTGGGGGCTTGACGGTAGCCGGGCCGTGTCCAACTTCCACTCTTATTCGTAGCTACCCTGGAGAACCAGGGCGCTCGCTATCCGCAACCTGCGATAGTAATTTTTGGTCTACATCTTTATTATTTATTTATGTACAGTTCCTGGAGGGCTTTTACAGGCCATTTAGCACTTTTCCTCCTCCAGTGCTTGATAAACATAAGCACGGAAATGCTGATGTCATCACTCCTCGCCGGTAATTCACTAGAGCTCCTTGATGCCAGCGTTCTCCTGGTGGAAGTGAAGTTATCTCTGTGCCCTCGTCAGCCTTCTCGGCGAAGGCATTGGCTCCGGCCGGTTGGGCATCATTGGCCTGGCTGGTGATCACCTTGCCGTAAGCCTCGTAGACCTGCAGTGACTTTACTATTTTTTATTTATTTTTAATATCGACGTAAGCCTACTGTACCTAAGATTCAAGTGTATATTTTACATTCCCTGCAGCAATTCAGCACTGGCACAAAATCATCATGCAGACGACTGCGACGCCGACAGAGCCGAACATAACGGAGGCAGAGCCGAACGCAACGACGGCAAAGCATCTTTTTAGCGCTGAAAGAAAGGTTAAAAGGTGATGAATTTTTGTCACTTTTTGAACAATGATAAATCGTTGGACACATTTTTTTATATTTTTAATGATTTAAATGAGGTTTGGTTCATCTTATCAATATTAAAATACATGCCAAAAATGATTTAAATAGGACCATTCATTAAAAATTTGTAAGAACCGCAGTCAGCTACGTGTTACAGAGGCAATACCTGACAACAACCTGCACTATGTCAACTTCATTCATCGAGCATACAAACCAAAACAGAATCGACTTACACAATCGGCTGTTAGATGACTAAAACGAGCTGCAAGGAAATATCCAACAGCTCATTAAGAATTATGGCAAGGATTCTGCCGACCGACGCCTCCGAGAAGGCTATTATGTCGGTAGATTAGAACAACTAAGGGAGCTCTGGCAACAATTTTGTGATCTGATTGAAGAGGTCCAGCAAGCGGCATTACCCACTGGAACTGAGTACTCTTCACGACTAGTGGCACTCAAGAAGCTGGTCGAGAAATATCACAAAATCTTCCTGGCAAACATACCCACTGGAAGCGGGCTACCGAAGGCCCCCAGACGAACTTCAGCCAACATCAAGATCAGAACAGGAGTTCAAGTCAAAGGAGATTCCGCAATTGACAGTAGCAGAGAAGATGCAACGAATTGGAATCATCATTAACATTAGCCTCGAACGCTCCAACCGTCACACCAGCCCTACAAAGGCATCTGGATCTCCATTGGGCGTTATTGAGGCAAGCCCACGACGAATTGGACAGCACACCTGGGACCGTGGCAGAAGCAGAGCTATCCCAATTCCACACATTATATGAGGAATACGAAATGAACCCGCTTCGTGAAAATGACGTCTAAACTTGGCACTTCCGCCAAGTAGCATTCCGGAATTCAATGGCGAGTATCTAGACTGGCCACGGTTCCATGATCTCTTTCTAGAGTTAGTACATAATAAACCATATTCGGCCAGTCAAAAACTACATATTCTACAGAGCTCGCTTCGTGTTGAAGCGAGGAACGTCTTGACAGACACAGCCTTCTCCAAGGGTGGTTATGACGACACCTGGTTGCGATTGAAGGCTACTATAGGTCAACCATTGCAAGCGATGGATGCGTCAGATCCAAAGCAGCAAATCCCAATGATCAACAAGGTGTCTGCGTTGGCCCTTGAACAATAGCCGAATACATACGTATTACTCGCCACAGCCATTGTGGCAGTACAAGGACAAAACACACAACGAGAAAATTGTCGCACAGTTATAGACCGTGGCTCTCAGCTGAATCTCATGTCCAGAAGAATGGCAGATCAACTTGCGCTTCCCATCACCAGTTCATCGCTAAGTATTCACGGAGTTGGACAACAAGCGCAGGGATTCCCGTCACGGGCACGTGTGCTGCTGTCATCATTAAATTCAAATTTTCAGTAGGAGATCGATGTGTTTATCCTACCACAACTGATGGAAAACCAACCATCGGATTCCATAGATAAAGAACTCAGTATTCCGAGCGAGGTAGTGTTGGTGGACCCAAGGTTCGGGCAACCCGGACGCATAGATTTACTTCTGGGAGCCGAGGTATACTCACGATTGGTAAGACCCGGACTTATCGAGTTGGGGACGGATAAGCCAATCCTACAAGAAACCACTCTTGGGTGGATTGCGTACGGCACACTTAGGCGAAGATTGCCAGCAGCCATGGCAGAAAATATCACGACAAGAACACGGGAGGATCCGTTACCAGCTCTGGAAAATTTGGGGAAGCTAGTTATATTTAACACCGAGGTACCTGCAATGATAGTCCAAGAGAGACTTTGTGAAGAACATTTTTTAATGGTAAGGGGGCCGTTCGCGGAAAATCCAAGGGTGCTGGGGACAACATCAGCGTTGGCTAGAACGGGATCCGGCAACGCTAGAAGGATACGTGAACTTTATGGATGAATATGAGCGGTTTAATCACATGGCGGAGGTACAGCTTTCCAGTGTACCAAGGAATCATTATTTCATTCCCCACCATTGCGTCCTAAAACCAGACAGCTCCGCCACAAAATTGATAGTGGTCTTCGACGCTTCGGCTCCTAGAGGACAGGAAGGAGCCTTAACATCATCCTAAGGGTAGGGCCGACAATTCAGAATGATTTGCTATCAATTTTGTTACGGTTCCGAACTCACCGGTTCGTGTTCACAGCAGACGTGGAAAAAATGTATCGACAGATCTGGGTTCATTTTGAAGACAAGGGCTATCAACTTACACTATGGCGACGAAACCCACTAGAGAAAATGCGGTATTTTCAATTAAACACGGTCAAACATGGGACTGAATGTGGCCTTACTTAGCAACAAAATGTTTACAACATTTGGCACAGGTAGCGCCGGCAAGCCAGCAGCTAGGTGCACACGCCATTCAACAAAACTTCTATGTCGACGATTGTTTATCCGGAGCCGACACGCTGGAGGAGGCGATAAGGTAACCTAAATCACCTACAGAGAGAAGTCCATCAACTACAAGAGCAGCTAGAAAGAGGGGATCTAGAGACGACATCGAATACGCAGGGGAACTACGTTAAAACAATCTCCATTGCAACAGGTTTCGTAATAATACTGTTGCTAGCAGCAATTTTGGAACTCATCAGAAAGGTTAAGAGTACAAGAAGGTTTCACCAAGAGAACGTCGCGGAACAGGGCATCACATCTCCAATACCCATGAGTCGGGTGAAAACGCTGACAACCACAGAATAAAAAAAAACAAAAAAAACTAAATCGTTGCTATTCAAGAATATATTTAGTTGTATATAAGTAAGTATACATAAAAAAAAGAGGAGGACGTGGTTATTACTCGTGGCCCGAATCACTATTGGAGTCATAATACATCTCCATGGGATCGGCGTTCAGCACTGGAGGACCACGCAAGGTAACAGCAAGCACAGCCAACCGAGCAACACCAAAACGATCGTGAGGAAGATGGATGAAGGAGCCCTCGTGGACCGTTACATGCCGATTTGGAGCATAACGTAGGCCATCTACGGCTCAAGACTGTACGGCTTTGACGACGTACATAAAACCCTGAGATATTATCCAGTTAAGACCAACAGTTGGGAACACAAGTAGAACGCATCGAGCCGTCAAGGTCCAGAACGATTTCGTAGTGACAAATCACCATTGCGACAAACTGAGACCCGACGAATACAGCAGTTTTTTTAGATGATTAACGAAACCTCAGCGCAGCACGGGTCAAAAGCACGCAACTCCCAACACGACGGAGTTCTACGTTATCAGCGAGCAAAATATACGATCAATGCAACTTATACGAAACAGCGACCAGGCGCACAGTAGCAGCACAATATAGTGCCGCCGCTGCAAGTTTGGGTCAGTCGGCCAAGACTCAGCGGAACAGCCCAACAGGCAGCATACTGCTGACATTGCAGCCTAAACGACCAGTCAACGAACTCGAGGCCAAACTAGGTCGACCCAAGTACAGGTGCTGCCCCAACGCAGATGCACTACACATCAGATAATTTATACGCCCAATTTACGGGTCAGAATAGTATTTAAGCCCTGATTAACAGCTCAGTAAAGACAGTTACAAACCTACACCACACATGATTCATTATTTCCATCATCGGTTGACTCCCGTCAACCCATCCTAGAACAGTTCTTATAACTCCTGTGATCCGGCACCGTAGTAGCTATAGATACCTGTGTCGCGACACGATCGTCCTGTCCTATCTAGTGTTCAGTACCCCCTTGTCAACGCTCTGTCTACCACCAGTTACACTAACATTCGTGAACTCACCCCCGCACAGTCCTGTATCGCCTGTGGTCCGGCACCGTGCTACCCGTAGTTATCCGTGCCGCGACGCGATCGTGCTGTCAGACACAGCGTCCCCGTGCCCGCGACGAGCGTTCATACTCCCTCGTCCCGCGGAGTGACCAAACATTGTCTATTCAGATTAGCCAAGAACACAAACAATAATAAATGCAAAATATTCATTACTAAGCGTTCAATTAACATTGATATGTCCTAGGGTTCACCAGTGCTCAAAAACTAGCACATATTAAGCGCTTTTTAAATCACCCTTTTGAGCTCTTATTTGAGCAGCAGAAAAAGCACACGTTTAGCACCTTTCAAGTGCTTAGCAGCAAATACAATTACCATATTATTTAAATTTTTTATTTGTTCGCTTATGCTGTCATTCGTTGTTTTTTTTTTAACAAAAATCGCCGCGTACCATCACTACAACAACGAGTGACATCGATATCGATATCGATATCGACACGCCGATATAACAACAAGCTATCGTTTTATATATCGGGCAAAATGATGCAAGTGTGCTATGTTAGTTTAGGTGATAAACTGATGTATTTATTAAATTTAAAAACAATTTTATATTTGTGGGGGCAAAACCTAAATATTATATAAAATATTTTTTTAAATTAATTTGTTTTTATTTTTTAAAAATTAAAACTTAGTTAGATGCCATTGGCAATGGAGGTATTCGAGCTGCGTTTCGGTACAAACTGTTAGGCTGGCAAAAATCACAGGTATATATTGAAGAACAGATTTTTATACTCCATTCTAACATTTCTTTTAATGTAATTTCGGTGTAGACTCAGGTGAGGAACAAGACCAAGAGAACCCCATTGCCGGTGCTGCGAAACCCAAATTGGTAAAGATTTAACGCTACATAATCTGAAAAGATTTTACGACTCAAGTCAGAAACTTTCCATCACACCACAGTTTAACAACTGAGTTAATTGATACTTTAACCACGATTTTTTTTAAACTGTAACGTGATGGAAAGTTTCTAAGTCTGGGCTCGTAACCTACAGGTGAAATCCTTTCAGATAATGTAGAGTTTAATCTTGAGTTTAATTGACGACCAACAACTAAACGGCAGATCAAAGAGACCAGATAATTAATATCATTATAGAGGAAATCTTAGCTAGGCAGCAGACGCTTAAAACTATAGATTTTGCTGATATTGTGGACCAAATCGTGGCGGTATTTCCCTCGGAGAAGAACTGGAGAGTAAGTTATGACCGTGCTCTGTACAAAATCTAAACACTATCAATGTTATACCCGTTACTCGTAGAGTAAGAGGGTATACTAAATTCGTCAGAAAGTATGTAACATGTATGTATTCTTGATCAGGATCACAAGCCGAGTCGATCTAGTCATGTCCGTCTGACCGTCTGTCCGTCTGTCTCTCCGTCCCGATGGACGCTGAGATCTCGGAAACTATAAGAGCTAGGCTATTGGGATTTGGCATGCAGATTCCTGAGCTTTTTATGCAGCGCAAGTTGGTTTCAGCAATGTGCCACGCCCACTCTAACGCCCACAAGCCGCCCAAAACTGTGGCTCCTACAGTTTTGATGCTAGAACACAAATTTTAACTGAAATGTATTATCCTCATCAATACCTATCGATTAACCTCAAAAAATTATGCCACGCCCACTTTAACGCCGACAAACCGCCCACAAACTTCAAAAAATCCTTAATACGAACGCGGTTATCTCGGAAACTGTCATAGATAGAGAAATAGGATCTCAGATTTAAATTCCGTAGCCTTGTACGCAGTGTAAGTTTGTTACGCAATTCTGTGGTGCCCACAATTTAAATGTTAGATAAAAAATTTTAACTGAAATGTGTTTGTCTTGTTAATACCTATCGATTGATCCAAAAAAAAGTTTGCCACGCCCACTCTAACGCCCACAGACCGCATAAGTTTGTGGCGCCCACAATTTTCATGCTAGAAAAAAGTGTTAGCTGAAATATATTAGTCTCGTCAATACCTACCGATTGACCACAAAAAGTTTGCCACGTTTACTCTAACGCCGATAACGCCTAAATCTGTCTACAGCCCACATAACCATATATTGAGATCGCGGGTAGGTGGCGCATTTATATCTCGCTTTACTGCTTGCATATCTCCATTTCCCTTTGGTCCATTTAGCTGAGTAACGGGTATCTAATAGTCGAGGTACTCGACTATAGCGTTCTCCCTTGTTTTGAATTGTGTTGTGGCTTAACAAATCTGTTCTACATTAAGTTTCCAACGCAGAAAAGACCGAACTAGTTCTCTTTACAAGAAAGTATAAGGTACCAATTCTAGTTACCCCAAAACTACACCAAACGCGCCTAACCTTTAGCAACCAAGTAAAGTACCTAGGTGTCATCCTCGACAAAAAGCTCCTCTGGACAGACAACATCCTACATCGCACACGCAAAGCTGCCATAGCCCCCTTCGCTTGTAAAAAAGCCATAGGGAGGAAGTGGGGTTTCTCCCCCATGATAGTTCACTGGCTATACACTGCAATAGACAGGCCCATTCTCCTCTACGGAAACATCGTTTGGTGGCCTTCTCTAAAAAAGAGCTGCAACCTCCGGATCCTTCACAAGATCCAAAGAAGCGCAGAGCTCTGCATCAGTGGGGCGCTTCGCACTACTGCCACTGAGGCACTAAACACAATTCTCAATCTCCAACCCCTGGACCTACTTGCCAACAGCTGGGCATCTGCAACAGCACTGAGGCTCCGCGAAGCAGCGGCATGGACAAACTATCCTATCAAAACACTCACCCTTACCACGTAATACAGACTACGTCCCACCCATAGTAACTTCGAAAGAAGATACAAGATCTTTATACCCACCCGTACAGACTGGGACAACCTCCCACACCAATTCGTAAGCGCCGTCAACATATACACAGACGGCTCCAAGACTAACTCTCAAACAGGTGGGGGAGTCTTTTCCCCCGAACTAGACATAAAAGTCTCATTCCGCCTACCAGACCACTGTAGTGTTTTCCAAGCGGAAGTCATGGCAATTCAGGAAGCCATTACCCACCTGAACACGTCTGTACATCAAGACATAGATATCTTTATCTTCTCGGATAGTCAAGCAGCCCTCAGGGCCCTTGACTCCTACACAACGAACTCAAAAACAATCTCTGAATGCCGCAAATCTCTTAACGAGATGGCCACTCATCTGAGAATCAACCTCATCTGGGTGCCTGGACACCGAAATATTGAGGGCAACTGCATAGCAGACGAGCTAGCAAGCAGGGGACAACCGCCGATATCCTTCGTGATAAGGACACGGTAGGTATGCCCATGGCTACCTGCAAGCTCCATCTCAGGCAGAGATTGTATACACTTTCCAAGAACCGTTGGAACTCAATCTCAACATGCCACAATTCTAGACTCACACTCTCCACTCTCCTAAATGCCCTCACGGGCTACTGTCTTATAGGGACTCATGCGCTAAGGCTGGGACTAAGTAACCACGACTTCTGCCGCAGCTGCAAACAGATAAACGAAGAGGAGAGCATCGAACACCTCCTATGCTTCTGCCCAGCGCATAACCTAAAGCGCTTTCAAACCCTAGGTAGCTACACACTTCCGAACCTTGCGGCCATTCAGGACGTAAGCATCTAAAAACTCTTATGTTTCTTAAGAAGAAAAGAATACTTCACGAAAGCAGGTAACCCATGAGCTAGGGAAACGGATCTGTTGAGAGATCATGTGGTATCACAAGGGGCCCATTGTGGCCTAAGTGAGGGGATTAGTATCTAATCTCCAACCACTCCTACCTAACCTAACCTAACCTAACAACTATAATAGCTTATATAATATATTTTGACTCAAAATACCCATTAACAGTCTTCCAATTAGTATATTAAGAAAACTTGAACTATTAGATATGTAATTATACTCATTGTATTGATCCTATTTTGTTACCTATTCTATAGTAGCATAGCATACGTATGAAAGCAGATGATTGTTAGCTTCTAAATAAATAAAAATAAAATTTGAAGAAAAATATGGGACTAGCAATCAATATCGGAATGGAAAGAGATGACTGTTTTTGTAGCGACATGACAAACCTTAAAGCAGTACCAAAACAAGGAACAAACGCACATTTAAGTTGAAGGACGCCAGTGTCCGAGGAGGATACAATTGCCATTAGACACACAGCCAAGCGTGCAATGCAGCCATGCTGTTGAACCGCAACTGCTTGGATTACTTCGTAACACCTTGCGGAATGGAAAAGGCTTGCGAAAGACCAACAAACTGGATGGCAATATTTGCTAATGGAAAAATCAACATTATAGAACTAAGAAACTTAACAACCCACTGCGCGACTTTTATTAAGGAATATCTTCCAATAGGAGTAGTTTTTTCTCATCCAAAATCGACTAAACATAAAAAGGCAACAAACAGCCAACAGTGATCTGAAATAAATTAACAGTTTCGGACGGCAAGGTGGTTAACATATTTTAACTTCACACTTCTAGTTATCAAATGTATCGTGTTCTGACTGTAACTTTGCGTGCCATATATCAAAACGTAATAGGATATTAATCCTCAACCAGTACCGAATTCTCGACGATCGCGCTTTAGCTTCGCTTGAACCAAAAGAACGGAAGCAAATTAAACAAGGAAGAACGCTATTGTCCAGTACCTTGACTATCAGATACCCGTTACTCAGATAAAGGGACCAAAGGGAAATGGAGATATGCAACCAGCAAAGCGAGATTAAAATGCGGCACCTACCGGCGGTAGACAGATTTAAGCGTTATGGGCGTTAGAGTGGGCGTGGCAAACTTTTTTTTTTCGATCAATCGATAGGTATTGACGAGACCAATACATTTCAGTTAAAATTTTTTATCTAGCATGAAAACTGTGGCCGTCACAGGCTTGGGCGGTTTGTGGGCGTTAGAGTGGGCGTGGCAAACTTTTTTTAGGTCAATCTATAGGTATTGATGGGAACAACACATTTCAGTTAAAATTTTTATTCTAGCATCAAAACTGTAGGAGCCACAGTTTTGGGAGGTTTGTGGGCGTTAGAGTGGGCGTGGCACTTCGCTGAAACAAACTTGCGCTGCGTAAGAAGCTCAGGAATCTGCACGCCAAATCTTAATAGCCTAGCTCTTGTAGTTTCCGAGATCTTAGCGTTCATCCGGACGGACAGACAGACGGTCAGACGGATATGGCTAGATCGACTCGGCTAGTGATCCTGATCAATAATATATATACTTTATGGGGTCGGAAACGCTTTCTTCTGCCTGTTACATACTTTCCGACGAATCTAGTATACCCTTTTACTCTACGAGTAACGGGTATGAAAATGGGCTAAAAACTTTCACATACGTGATATAAAATAATTTTTCTAATATTCATA